AAACTGAATTAAATATATTTCTATGCTGAACTTTTTCAATGGCCACATCCCTTAAAGTAATTCTTGTCCATCATTATATCATCATCCATCCAGTACACCTTGGATAACCATGCTATACTCTAGGATGCTTTCAGTCTATCAGAAAGTTCCAAGAGGCTTCCAAACAACAGGAAATATTTCTTTTAAAGTTAAAACTGCTTTCAGTGCAAGATAAAGCTTGGCTATTGAAGGTCACATAGAACAAAAATACCTTTAAAAAACTGCATAGCATTATGGTAAGATGGGAGAAAGTTTAAGACCTCAGCCATTTAAAACTAGCCTCAATTTCATACTCATTTAATGCGCCTGCTTCCAGTCTAACACTACTATTTCTCCCAGGATAGCTACAAAAGCTTCTCACGTTTCTCTTAACATCCATGACACAACTAAAACTCTATTCAGCACTGTTAACTTTTAACTAAAGGTTTAACTTCTGGCATAATCTTATTTTGTAACCTCCCATCTTTTCAGAACAGAGGTTTACTGCCTTCAAATTTTTGTTCAACCCTTTGTGAGACCACACTGGCAGTCTCTTGTTCTTAGCATTTTGTTCCTGGAAAATAATCAAGACTGATTGCCGTTTTCTGTCTAAGAATATCTAGGCTTCTTCCATGATCTCAGACATATCACTTCCTTAGCATTTTCATCTTCAAGGAGCTGAACTTGCTTCCATTATACCCACCTGTCCAGATTTCTTAACTCTCCAATATTTGCTTCTCTAAAACCTAACAGATTTGGGCCACTGCATTCATGCTCTTTATTACATTTAATTCAAACAGCTCCCTAGCTTCGCTGTTATACTCTCAATCATTTTCTCACTGCAAATCCAGGATACGCTTTTGTGTGCATGCGCCTACAGTCCCAGAAAACCTCTAGTGGATGCCCCACACAGCTCTTGTGTGGTTTCATTTCCTGCCTCCTACCCTCAAGTTTTGTAAAAGAAGATGGTTAGGTTCTCAATCTGTTGTATCCACCACTTCCCTCTTCGCCAACTCCACGGATGTCCCTGGCTTAAGGAATGCTTCAGCCCAACAGGCAGCTGCCCGCTTCTTTCTCCCTATTGCCCACAGACTGCAAACCAACCGAGCACGAACTCCAGCTGCAAAAAAGTGTCCCCTACAGATTCCATCCAGGGACCTCGATCACAACTTGGCCACCTCACCTGCTCCTTCCAGGCTTCACAGGCACTGTGGGGAATTGTAGCACCACCCTTCAGCACCTCAATGCTCCTGGGCTGGCGCACACACCCCATCACGTGCCTTGGCCACCGGAGACGTACAAGCCCATCGGTGCCCCCTTGCTGCCCTCTTCCCAGCCTCGCCCTCTCGGGAGCGGAGTATCCTTCACAGGGGGGGGGGCTTTTACAAACAGCTCC